TTTGTAAACAACACACCTTTACTTGAATCCCTCCAATCTATTAGATATCCCACCAGACCACCAAAAGCATATAGACAAAATGGGACATATGAGTTAAGTCTACTATTATTAGCATATAAAGTACAAACAACAACAACAACATACCCAGTATATTCCCAACTGGTTGGGGTCTGGGGGGTCAGTTGTACGCAGACCTTACCTTTGTATAATTACAAGGAGGCTGTTTCCGTAGCGACCCAAGGTGGGTTGCGTCATTTGATATATTTTTTTTTCTAGAAACTTCACTAATAGAAGAAGCACTAGAATTTAATTGAGCCATTTTGATCTAGTCCATTATTAGCACTATGCCAGGAGAATTGTCAACAATGACTCTCAAGCTCCATTTGCAATGGACATGATATAAAGTATAAACAATCTAAAATTTTTCCTCCAAGTTTGTAGGATGGTGGCCTTTAACATGTTAGTAGTTGCACTCTCAGATCATAAACTGTACCCAGCACAGAACAGAGGAACACTGTGTGGCAAATAATAAGGTTTCAAAGTGATTCCAAGCTCTACAACACTTCACCACCACAAAATCGGCAAACAATAGCCATATGCTTTGCATTATCCAAGTCTTGTTGCATAGTAATAACATACTAACAAGATCATCACAGTACTTGCAAAAACGATTAGTCAACTGTTATTTCAAGTAGTGCTGTTATCTACCTTACATTTCCCGTGCTATCTCCACCTTAAATCAAGGCAATTTCTCGCACGAACATTAAGATGAATTCAGAACAAACACAAAACCGATTCAAAGGCTTCAAAATGTAATCAAAGCCATGCGGAACAAAACATAATGCATCCAAATGTTCTTTATTATCATCATGCAACACAACTGGAATTTAAAGGTCAGAATAATAAGTGGAACCAATTGCCATGATGAACAACTAGTTACGGGCTGGTGTCGAGCAATTTTTGTATGACGCAGTCATAGTTCTTTTTATTTTTTTTTAAAAAAAAAATGAATACTTCATGTCATGAAATCTCATACTTATGTTTATGTTGTTTTTAAGAACTCGACATTTCACTCAAAGTATTCATATCTTTTGCAAAAGTTTGATTTCGGCAGCCTTATGGTAGGCCAAGCAATGTAGAGCTAAGTAATGTTAGAGTTGCTAAACAATGGTCCCAACTCCGATCAAACTACATTTAGCTTTTCGGTTGAAATAATCGCAAAGGTTTCAATACATTGATCAAACAAAGCAAACTACAAATCGAAGCGTTGAAACAAAACACGCTACGGTTCTTGATTATTCAGACCACAATCAGTAATTTCAGCCATTGGGTAATTCAAATTTCATGTCAAAATTCACACACACACAAAGCATCAAATCATTAAGAAATCATTGATAGAGAACCATAGTAGTCAAATTCTTCAAAACCTGGTAACGCATTTTACTAGCACAACCCTAATAAAACAGAATTGAAAATTTGTCCAAAAACAAAAATAAAAACGAACTGCAATCAGTTTCTGGATTCAATTAAAAAAGCAATCAACGACCAAATTACGGAAAGATATACAAATAAATTACTTGGCAGGGGCGCCGCCGAGCAAGCTAGCCTGCTGCAGCTCGAGCTCGTTGAACTGCTGCTCGCGATCCATCTCGATAATCAGAGGCACGAACAGGACGAGGAAAGTGGTCCCCGCGATCCATGCGGCTTTCCCGGTGCTCCTCAGCAGCTTCTTCGCGACGAAGGCGGTGTCGGCGGCGGCTTTCTTGCCGCGGTACACGATGGGTGACTGAGAGACGGCGGAAGATGCGCGGGAGAGGATTCCGGCGTCGGAAGGCGGTGCTCCGATCCTCTTGGAAGACATTCTCGAGATGCTTAAGCAGCAAGCACGAAGTTTTGGAGACGACGAGAAGATTTGTATTAGGGTTTGTGCAGCGGTAGTCCGAGCCAAGCCCGTCTTACCGCTAACATAAATCGGTTTCTAGGCCCAACCCATTAAAATGTTTTTTCTTGGTCCAATATTTTAGAATTTCTTCTTATTATTTATTTTACTACAACTAAATTATATTTAAAACTTCAAAATTTCACGATTTTTATTTTGTAGTATTCAATAAAATACATAATTAGTCTAATCCTTTTTATTTATATTTTTGTCAATTGAGTAATTCTCATAATTGTTTTGTTATTTATCACTTTATCTTAATCAAAAGAATTTTGCATTGTCGTACGTGCAGGGACGGATCCAGAAACTAAGAGTAGACTGGGCTAAAATTTTAAGTACTCATTTTCATAAAAATCACATAATATTTTTTCTTCAAATATTTACTGAAGTTGTGTTCAACGAACTTTTACATAATAAAATTCATCAACAATATAATCTATACTTATACAATTTAGTAAACTCCCGTTCGACGCTGGCCTAAAGTTGTTGCTTCATGTGAATTTTTTAAAATTTCACAAGCCAAATATGTCCATTTATTTAAGCCAAACATGAGTGGAAATATATATATATATATATATTTTTAATTGATCATTTTCACATTGTGTACCATGATCATCCATTCAAAAATAAACTTACAACAAATAAACATTATCTACCAAAAGTGCAAAATATGTAAAAAGAAATCTCCCATAGCAAACTAGAATTAAGAAATCCCTTCATATTTCTTTTCTCCTATCCAGAGTCCAAACTAAGCACTAAATCCAGCAAACTAGAATTAAGAAATCCCTTCAAATTTTTTTTCCTCTCCATACCAAGCACTCAATCCTGGATCTCACACAATAATCAAACCTCATAACACCATTTTTTCTTCCATTTACAAACAGACAAGTGTCACATGAATAAAACTAAGACAACTATCGAACAAAATTACAAAACATGACAACGAAAAAGACAAAAAATCAAGTAAGGTACAAAAATATAGCAATATATAAACAAAAGTGCAGCAAAAAACAATTATTAGTCAATTAGGTATGACAATTGATGCCTACCAGCCCACCAATTTGAATCGGGTTTTTGAAACAAAGAAAATGAGAAAATGAAAAAGAAAGAGAATATGGAGAAGAGATAAATTATGGTTATTGAAAATGATAGAGACGTCATGTATGTAAAAGAAAATCTGACGAAAGATTTGAACTGGAACCATCAATTTAGAAAAGACGTAAAAAAGTAAAAGATAATATACAGGAAATAAAATATTAGATATAAAAAATAAAAGATAAAAAATGATATGTTAGTATATCACGCTATTATTTTTAATGCCATTTGGACAATTGAGCTTGAGTATTTTAATTGGGCTGGGCTAGGAATTTAAAAAGAAAGAAAAAGTTAAAGTAATTAATAGTTAAAGCAAGTAACAAGCCTGGGCTTCAGCCCAGCCCAGGCCTAATGTAAGTCCGTCCATGCGTACGTGATTTACGAGCAATTTGAGTATTTATAATAGAAATTTTGGAAGTGATGAAGTTGTTTTATATTATATTGATAGTTATAATTTATAAATGCGTAATTTGATGACCAATAAATTTTATAAAAAAATATATAGCAATGAATGAAAAAAAAATTACATTAAAATTCAACTAGGAAAAAAAAGAGTAAATAAATTTTCTAACTTGTAATATACGATACTTTTGAGATTTTCGACTTAAATATTTTTTATCGTAAAAATACAAACTGAATTACATATACAATCACTATTTGCACGTTCAACGACCATACACGTGTCCTGACCACATCTTGACCATACATGTGTCCTTTTTTTGTAGATGATCGGACGATAAAAAAGTCGTCGAGCGTGCAAATAATTGTATATATGTAGTTCAGATTGCATTTTACAACAAAAAAATACTCTAGAATGAAAATCTCAAAAGCACGTATAGTACAAGGTGAAAAATATTATTTATCCAAAAAAAATAAAAAATAAAAACATGAATATTATTATATATCATTAATTGAGAAATGAAAAATTTTATTTATTTATTTATTTATTTCCCCCAAATTGGAACCCCAAGCCTCTCGTGCTCTTGCTGATTGTAGCCACTTCTCCTATTACAAATACAAAAGCCCTAACTGTAAGTTTGCCCCTTTCTATCTTCTCCACTGTCCTCCTCTCACCATTGTGTAAAACCCTCAAATACCAGAAAACTTCTACAGAGAGCGAGCAAAAGCTTAAGTAATAATCACTATCTCCATCGGAAAACTTTCCGCTCCGTTTTCGCCGTCGCCTCTCTGGTTTCAGGTACGTGATATGATACTTATCCTTCCGCCAATGTTGAATTCATCCATAATCGCATTTTGTTTTCCTAATTTAACTGTGTACCAGTGGAGCTTGATGTTTATGGTGCGTTAGATTTTTTAGGGGGTGATTATGTGAAGTGTTTGTAGCTTTACTTTCGTTTGGTCGCCATCTACTTGCTGTGATTTGTAGTCTTGTTTTCGTTTCTCTCGCAGTCGATTTGCTGTTATTGGCTAATTACCGAGTTTAATCCTTTGTGAAACCTTTTGAGATCTGTTATCAGCACAATTTCATTAGACGAGAACATACTTAAGGTGTTTTTGCTTATTTGTTGGAGCCCACTTTGTTTATTGTGCCAGTAAGATGTCTATCAAGAATTATATTTTATGAACTATAATTCTTTTGAGCCATAAATCTCTGCCAGTAAGATGTCTTTGGTTGTTTACTCATCCTATATTATGTGTGCGCGCGCGTGTGTGTGTGTGTTCTTCTTATTATTTACCTTCATTGTTCTTCCTTGAAACTTGATAAACTAACAGAGATCTAGAGCATTATTTTATTTTTCCCACAGCAAACCAAATGTGTGATGTAATGAATTTGATAACTATAGGTGCATGCAGGTTAACGGAACAAATAAATATTCATTTGCCTGGTTACGTCAAGCAATTTATTCTTCCAGCCGATGTTAGAAGTTTCATGATCCATGATCGATTCTCCTGACTGTAGCTGCTCCTAATTTATGCAGTTCCTTGAAAGCACCCGGTTTGTGTGATGGGAGATAGCGAGACCATTACGGCACAAACATCTGCTGTCTGTAATGATGCGAGTGCTGTTGGTGCTTCTGATGCTGGTGGCTCAATTGCTCCAGCTACAGAGAACATTGCTGGTTCCACTCCTGCTCCTGATGCCCCATCAGAAAATATGACCGTGCAGGAAGCCCCAGCTGTAACAACTTATGATGAAAATGAAAATCTTGCCGGCCATGGAAGTTATTCTATGGACGCTCAAATTGCTGCTTACGAGTCCTCGCTGAATGTTAATGGTGTTAGTGAAGCAGGGGATGGATCAAGTGAGGATATTACCGAAAATGGTGTTGCTGCTTTGCATCAGCCCTTGGATAGTTCTGGTATTGATTGGCATTCTTTTGATAGGAAAATAATGGGCATAAGAACTGTTTTTTTTTGGTTGAGTTATGCAAATCAAGGAATTTTTGGTATCTATATGTGACAAAGCTTGTTCAACCCTGAAAATTGCTTTTCTTTTTTTCCTGTTGTTCTTTTCACAACTTTCTTGTTGGAATACCGACTCATTTGTTAAAAAAATTGCTATAGCAGGCCTGAGTGCCGAAGAAGAAAGATTATGGAGCATTGTAACGACTAATTCGCTGGACTTTGATGCCTGGACTGCATTAATAGAAGAAACAGAGAGAACGGCAGAGGTATGAAAAATGGATTGAAATTTGGCCTCATTATATTTATTTACTCAATGACACAAACTTGGAGGCTTGGAGCCTGCTTGTCCCTGTTATATGAATGTATTCTTATTATGGCCATGCTGTTTCAGTGGCTGTCACCTGATCTAACTTTTCCCTTCTCCTCTCTCCAACTTCTAGGGCAACATTTTTAAAATCCGAAAAGTTTATGACACCTTTTTAGCGGAATTTCCTCTATGCTATGGTTACTGGAAGAAGTATGCTGATCATGAGGCACGCCTCAGTTCAGTGGACAAGGTTGTAGAGGTGTATGAACGAGCTGTTCAAGGAGTGACCTACTCTGTGGACATGTGGCTTCATTACTGTGTTTTTTCTATCAGCACTTATGGAGATCCCGTGACTATAAGAGGGTAACTTTCAATACTTGGCTTTCTTTGTTATCCTTTATGGGTTCAATGTATTCTTGATTCTAGATGTTGGTGTTGAAGTGTTTTTTTTTTTT